CACACACACACACACACACACACACACACACACACACACACACACACACACACACACACACACACACACAGAACAATTTGAAACATTTCCCGCTCTTATGTGCCCATTCCCCCGGGACATGGATCACACCTTACACACACAATACATGCTCAGTGCCTATTCTTTGTATATTTACTGCAGTTATTCATGTATACCAGTAGTCTGATACAATATTTACAGTTTGAAAGGGTGTTAAATGAAATTTGGTAATGATTAATGGTTTTTGTGTTAATGTAATAGCAGTTAAAACAGTACTGGTCAAATTTGAACGCGAACACCAAAGTAAGGAGGGGGAAACGAAGACAATAGAAAGAAAAATCAAGTGAGAAATAGGATAATTTTCTCATAGACTTCTTTAAAATTTGACTTTTTTTGTGAGCCCCTAGCTGGCCTTTCAAAAGTGTGCAGGAACTTCAGCATTGGCTACACTTCTCAGACCTACAGGTGGCCATGGCTAAACATTGACATGTTACCAGCAAGTTAGCATGCTGGTTAGCATTTGGCTCGAAACACTGCTGTGGCTATGAGTCAAGCGTTAAGTGGGGCTATCAACTTGTTTTTGTGCTTACCACTAAATAAATGTTTTGTGGTAACCTCCCAAAGCAAAACTCTATGTTATTTCCTTCTAACATGAGTGTATTATGTTTGGGATTTTGTGTGTTCAAAATAAGAAAGACAAAAAATATGATTATTGGAAAAACCCAAATTCAACATCACTAACAACAGTGATGTGTGCATTAGGTCGGAGTTATAGTAAAATAAAGAGAAGAAACAAAAAGAAAAAAGAAAGTGCTTTAAAGCAATCAATTAACTTTGTTTCACCTAATGGAATGAAACAATTTAACCACTAAATCACATTTGATCAGGTCTCGGATTGATAATTATTGAATGGTGAAAAGTAATACTAATCTGTCCAGGCTCATTACATTACACTTAGTTTCCCCATTTACTGCCAATGTAGGGCTTATCTTAAATTACACACACACACACACACACACACACACACACACACACACACACACACACACACACACACACACACACACACACACACACACACACACACACACAGATCCACAATTAAGCTGAATCAGGATGCAGGGCTTGATTGAAGAGAGCGTCTGCTAACTAGACAGCGCAGTCAACGAGGAAAAGAAACAAGCTGGAACATGAACTGATCCTGTGTGAACAACAGGGGCCAAAAGCCTTTGTCCTATTATGCCTTTCACTCTGTTTGCCCACCACACAATCACGTGAACGGACGGATATTTCAATTGTTTACAGCAGAAGTCCTAACTACCCTAATTAAGTGATAGAGATATTCCTCCAAAATGTACTATTGGTTTTCCAAAGACTTACCCCCTCATTCTTTTCTCACAACTATAATAATGAATAGATAAAACGTACTCAAGTTAACTGCCTGATTAGTAATATTGGACATGTTAAGCAAGATGTCATCAAGAAGATGTTTGTAGTATGTCACAGTAGTGTGCTGTCAGATAAAACATAGCGTGCTAATTAAACCACAAAATGACAAAAACAAGTGTTGGTGGATGTAATTGAGCTCTTGCAGGAATTGAGGGTGATGTCAGCAGTGGAAAAACCTGTCACTGCTTTAAATCAGACAATGTGCTGGTCTCAAGATGAAGCTTTGAAATGCTCTGAGGTAAAGCTATAATGACTCCCAGCCTTCAATGTTTCCAGGGTCCTCCTTTCTCTATAATGAGCACAGCCAATCACCAATCTAGGTTTCTCTTCACCTTTGAGAACTTGATAACAAGGGTTACATGCTACACATTTGCTTTAAAACTCCCACCTCTGCTTGCTTCTGGGGAAAGAACCACTAGTGAAAGATATTTGAAAGATTTCGCTTCTTTCAACAATGATTTATTTCTCTGTCAACCTCCTGGGTTTAAGAGTGTTAATTTCTTGCATAGGACTTATGGGTAATGTATTTCTCATCCTTGCCATCATTCAGACTAAGCTTTCCCGGGTCAAATCCTTCGAGTTCTTCCTCTTGGGACTGTCCGCTGCCAACTTGGAGGAAATTGTCCTCGTGAACATCTACGATATTATCATCCTCAAGACCTCCACCATCGACAATTGGTTGTGCGAAATGCTCCAGTTCCTGACAATGTTTGGAGAAATCGCCAGCATCTTCTTCACCGTCCTCATCTGCATCTTTCGTGGACAGAAGCTGAGAGACGTCGACAAGAGGGTCAACCCGATCTACCTGGACAACACCAGGTCGGCCTGGATGGTGAGCGGGCTTTTTGTGATGCTCGCCACGCTGCTTTGTCTCCCAGTTTTTGCAATCAAGCCTCAAGACCTTCAGGGAAACACAACAATGAATAGCAGCAGCTGCCCTCCCAACTTCTTTCAGTGTATTGGAAACGATTGCCCCATACTCAACCGTGTTTACAAGTACACGTTCATCGTGGTGTGCTACCTGCTGCCTCTGATCATCGTCACAGTCACCAGCTGCCTCATCATCGCGGTGCTGCTGAGCCGGAGGAAGACGGTCACACCTGGGGCGAGCGAGACTGGGTCGAGTCAGTTCAGTACGAAGAACAAGGACCAGAAGCTCAAGCGGAGCACCATAGCTGTGCTGGCAGCGATGGGGTTGTTCCAGGTAGACTGGAGTCTCTACCTGATCTTCCAGCTGACCGTCAGCCACTCTGACTATGCGTTTTGGGCTGAGACTGAGTTTTTTCTCACAACTTCCTACACATCTATCAGTCCCTATGTGTACGGGATCGGGAATAACCTGTTTTTATGCAAGAACTTTATGAAGAAGTAACTTGAAGATTTTCTTCTGTATTTAAGATTGGGACACACATCTTTTGACATTTTTAGAAACCTCACCTTGCTCAGACCTTTTTCTGTAACTGTCATTGGTAAACAGATTAAAGCATTGTGTTACAATTAAATATATTTGTTTAGATCTTGACATTTTTTATTAGATGTTATGCAACTTATCTTTTTGCATTGTTTTGCTATTAAAAGTCGTTTTCAGTCCCAACGTTTTATATTTAAAAAAAAAGAAAGGGTTTTAATCAGCAATACCTTTAATTGTTGGCAAAAGCATTAAAGGATTGCCATTTTCTAAGCTGAAAAATAAAATGTTTTTTGTTCCTAAAGAAGCTCTCTTTCTGCCTGCAGTTGGAGGAGGGCAAGCACATCTTATGTGATGCAGTGTAACACAAAATAAATACTAAAGACATTGCAAGTTCCTGTTTCGCTATGATCCCTGCAGACTCACTCTTTATTTTCACTGCAATTCTTCACATAACAGTTGTATATAAACTCTATATAAATAAACACAGAGTTGACTTGTGTTCATGGTAAAATAATATATTGTCAAGCTTTTCTTTTTCAGAAGAGTGAAGTCAAGTGCAGGATAAATCTTGAGTTTAAGCTTTGTAACATCATTGAAGAGATGCACTGGCTCTGTTGAAATTGATTATTTATGGGTCACATATAAGTGAGTCTTATTGTGACCAATTTAGACAGATTTTGTTGGATTAAGGTGATTTAGGTTTATGCCAAATGTCTGCTTAAATAGTGTCAATTGTTATTTATAAAAACGTGTGTGGGTGTGTAAAATGATTCAGCCTTAATCATCACAATTTAAACATTAACTCGTAAAATACTTTAGTGTCAATAACATGAGTGCCTTTAATTCACAAAGCTAAGCCTGACTGCTTTTGGAAAAAGTTTCTCATTATTTCTTACCTTCTGCCATGACATCTACATCTGTTCTTTAAATGTAATCCCTTCACATTAAAAAAATACATATGCATTATGTCTACACTCTTAACTCAAAAACAATCCTGTATTTACACGGTGATGATACAATAAATATTGTGCCTGTTCACGGTAATTTTAAATTAGGTTTGACAGTTGTAACAGAGGCTCACAAAGGCTATACAAAGTCTGTGCACTTTCCTTTGTCTGTGCTGCCACTGCTGATTTTACCTTAGTGACATCACAATCTGGTAGCTGTCACTCCACACTGTATTGTTGTTAAGGAAGTAAAATGAAAAACACACCCTTATTAAGGAGTTCCTACAGTGGCTTCTTTTTATTTTCTGCAGATATTTAAAAAAGTCTCTATGTATGCAGTGTTACATGATGTGAGCAACAATAACCTTATGTGTCATCATTAAACAGTAATGATATTACTGTTGTATTATTATAAATTATCTGATCCAATATACAATTGTACAGTGAATACATAACATACAATAAGTGGTCTGTTGTGTGAAAAAACATTTAAACTTCCTGTAGCTTAACTGGATGCATTATGAATATTATTTTAATAGTTTTATGGGAGATTTTGCCCTGAGGAAAATCATTTTGTATTGTCTTAATGTGAAACTTGGGGGTGTATTTTGAAAGGGCTTTTTGGGAGTATACCTCTCAGTACCAAAGATAAGCTTCAAATGTTTTTGCAATAATGGATCGGGATAGTAGGCTATAGGATAAAGGTCTACAGCAGGAACATGCCTGCAGTATATCGCCACGAGATCCCCACGTGGAATACAGGAGAGACGGGTAGGTTCATGCTGGCTTCGCTCCGACTTCCTAGTCCTGTTTAGACCCCGCCCTGCTCGCCCGATACCACGTTACTCTTGATGTTGCCATAATTCTCTCTTAATACATGTGTGAGTTTACACATAAACCTACATTGGAACATTTGACGGGAAGTCCTTTATTATGTAGGGAAACACAAACGACTCAGATGATTTTACACTTAATTTGGCGTTAACCCATGTCTACACTCATGCACGTGACAGCTGTGATGCATGCTTGCTTGCCATTTTTTCCCCTGGTTTATTTATTGAATCGGCTCTAGCCCACCCTTCTCTGGCCACCAATTGAGAAGCGAGCCGTTCTATCCGCTGCGTTTGTGCTTTCAAATGAATAAAAATTACAATGTATTTCTCAGTCATTTTAAGGCACTAATGCATTTCAGCCGACTTTAGTAAGCTGCAGTGCTGACTTGTTTTGTTTAGCAATTGTGTCGTCAGCAGGTTTGGTGGCTCAGTAAAATAACTTACGTGAGGACATTATTTTCTGTGGATTATTTTGGGAAATAAATTATAGGCCTATTTTAAAACCTCTTAACTCTTATCAGGGTACTTTAGTCTAGTTGTTCTTCATAAATTAGAGGCTAAATGACTTGTTTTTTTTATTGGTTAATCATTTATGTGGAACGCATTCAGTTAAATTGATTTTTCGGAACCTAACAGACGCCATCTTTTTGGAGAACAAGCCAGTTGACGTTGTTTTGCGGTCCGGTTTCAGCAGTTTAAAAAAAGTAAACCATGAGTTATTTATTAAGTCTGAGTAGGTCCATTTTGCTGCAGGGGCGTATTGACAAGGAACCTGCACTGTTTGTCACCTGCTCTAAAATAACTTTTCTCAAAGGGGGTTTGTAAACTGAAATTCAGGCATGAAAGAAGTGTCCGATAAAGTCCTGCGGAGGGAGCCTGCGCAGTGGCTATTGAATCTACACCGCCATGGTGAACGTGTTACGTCACAGCACGAGAGCACGGATGTGTGTGTGTGTGTGTATGTGTGAGCGAGAGGGGCAGAGGAGAGTGTGTGCTCTTCAGACAGGGTGAGAATGGAAATGTGATCGAAAAGGTAGAAGAAGTGAAGGAAATACAAAGGAATGAAGGTAAAGTCTCGGGTCTTTGCTCTCAGCTTGGGAATCACACGCATGAAACATTCTCGCGCAAACTTGCTGAGAGTTGTCCTTACCGGCGCGCGGACTGAGCTCGAGGTGGGAACAAGCGAGAAAAAAAATCTCCGGGATGGTGGACTCCCGCTTCCCTCGCGGCCCGGGAATCACGCGCCATTGAAGGGGGGTGATATCGTGCATGCGCGTTGGCTCCTCTGCGTGCACGCTCGGGTCGGTCGATGCGAGCACAGTGGCGTGGCTTTCGGCCTCCATTTGTGTTTATGTTCGAGGGACACACCGAGGCCCTTTCGACAGGCGACGTCGACGTGCAACAGTTGAAGTTTTACCGGGAACGTTATCGTTATGTTGCCTCGGTAAACATTTAGGCGTCGTTCAAAGGTGAGGCGTCAGAGAAACCTGCAACTTTTCCAACTTGGTGAGTGTTGGAGCAGGCGGCCTTCCTCTCTGTTGTGTGTGAGGAAGACATGGCTGTTGCTAAACAACTTAAATTCTCCATAAGACTAATAATTTTAAGAGGAAAAGTTTTTACAGGGAGAAGGATTCGGAGTTTGTGTGGTAAACATGCCGGTAAAAACGCATTTTGCGCACTCGTTTGGCCGGTTAACACCTTTACACTACAGCATCTGTGTTGTTGATGTGATTAATACATTGACCTAGAGAGGGCAAGGCAGAAATGAAGCGAACATTGATAGCGTGTTCTCTGTCGTCGACGTTGGAAATTTTATTACGGTTGCTACCGAATAAATACTTAAAGAAACGTAAGTTTTTTTGTCTTTTGGATACTTAAAACGAGGCCCTGTCCGAGTCCTTCAGCCATGTCCTCCGCTGTGTGATACCAGGCTCGCAGGCTATTGGTCAGTCACACCGAGGTGGTCTCGTAGCACACTTGAGGAAATACAAAGTCCAATGTTTCAGACTGTCAATAAATTATATATTAAACTTTAAAAAAATACTGAAACATTTCTACCTTCGTGCAATTTGATTAAGTTAGTATAATAAGTCACATGTTTGTTATTTTTAACGATTGCAGGTCAAATATATGGGGCGTATTTGTTTTGGCGTTTTAATGCTGTGTTTACCAAATTCCTACTGCTTTTATTACCTGGTGTCTCAGTTTTTGTGGTTTTGACCTCTGAAGTTCATTTCATTTATGAATTGTATTCTGTTGCCTGATGTTGCAAGACAGGGTCTGAAAAAACATCATCACAACAAATCATGCTTTCATAATGTGTAGCCACACAGGCATAAACAAATTGACAAAGCAGGCTTTTTTTGAAAGCCTTGCATGTAAGATAAGGTTTATAAATATGTCCTTACACAGTAGAACAACTCATCACTAGCTCATAGAAGGATATGGCCAATGGTTGTAATAAATTATATTTTGTCCATTAGTAGCTAATGTATTTTTCAGGAGCATACGACATATCCTAAAATTGCTCTGGTTGGATTCTATTGGGATACAATGTGCTGTTGTATGAATCTTACAAACCATGCACATCTTGATATTAGGTTGGGTGTTTTATGCATTACAAAATATGAATTTCACACCATATACAAACAATATTAATAATAATTACGTGTCATATGAAACCAATACTTTGATGTTGCCTGCAGTCATTTAATTTCTTGATTTTAAAGTAAATGTGTATGCACTATAAATTAAGACAGCCAAAATATCCAACAAAATTCCATAACTGTCATTTCTACAGCTAGCACACTGTTGTAACACCACTAATGTTACAACTAGCTTGAAACATGTCAGGACTCAATAGCTCTCTGAAGTGTTTTTGCTATCTGAAAAGGGTTGGAGATATCGTTAAAGGATGTTGTAATGAGAGTTTGTGGCTTATTTTTTCAATTTGATAATAGTAGATCTATCGACACTCTTTTAGGTGTATTGAATGCGAACATTGCTTTTACATTTACCACTTTTGGTTATTTTCTGTCAGTGTTTGCTCTACTTGGATGACCAGTAAAATGTTTTTTAAATGTGGTTTTTATTTAGTTGTCACATTTATCTTCTCTCTTTTTTTATTATGCTTTGTGTGATTTTAGCAATTATGTTTAATAAGGTGGGAAATGTAAATCACCATGCTATACATATAACTCTGTTATTATTTTGTCATTAGGTATCAAATGAATTGTGACTGCCACATCTATTGATGATGTCTGCCACAGACTCTGAACTCGCATCAATGGAGGACCCCCACCCTATAGAGCATGAGGAGGGGAGCTCCAGTGACACTCCCTCCTCAGTTCCTCCTCCTCCTGTTGTCCCTTCTTCAACTCCTCTTGATCCAACCACTATGAGAGCTAACGTACCTAGTGAGACAACGATTGAGGAAAAAGCTGTCTCCATGGCAAGTAATGATTTTAGCTCCGCTCTCTCTTCGCCTGCTGAAGCCAGCCCAGCAAAGCCTGCTGCAACATCACCCACTACCTTTGAAGGAACTGTTAAAACAAGCCCAGCTACTTCACATATTGCATCAGCATCAGACTCCCTGACATGCACAGAAACAAGCCATGTCCCCACATCA